ATGCAAGACATGCATTTTATACTCTCAGAGAAAGAAAGGAAGCTGCATTGTTAACATATATTTCTTTAAAGTGTAACATTGCACATGGAAACACTAATACAATATTAGATTTTCTTGCTTTGTCATGCAGGATTAATTCTTTTAAGAAAAAAAATAACAACGTTCTGTAAATTTCTGCTCATAGGCTTTAAAGTCTCACATGGTATAATAAAACATTTAAAGTGGCTGAATTCATCTTTAATATCCTCTTCATTAATATCCCGTGGTCGTTACACTTGGTTATACAATGGTTCAAATAATTCTGTCAGGAGTGATTCATTTGTGGATTCAGCTCAAACGGCCACAGGGTGGCGCTGTAAGGTCAGAGAAGCTGCAGAGGGAAGCTGTCTGCATTACATTATAAAGGAGACAGGGTTTTTTTTAAAAATAATGAATAAGGATTATTATCAGTATTAGAACAGGGTATTTTATTTTGTTAATAATATATTTAAGAATAATTCTTGAAAAAACTACAGAAATAATCTACTTTATTGTATTTCAGTCTAATTCTTAGTTTGTTTTATACAAGGAAGAAAGAAAAACAAATAATACAAAGAAGTGTTTTATAAGAAACTCATAGTACGATAATTTGAGTTTATTGAAGTAATTTAAATACACTAGACAACATTTTTTTAAGGCTGTAGCCTCTGTGAGGGAATGTTCAATCCTGCTGCAACTTTTCCTCCACAGAAAACATGAAAACTTCCCTCAACATGAATTTGAACTCAGACAAATAAAGGATGTAACTGGACCACTCACGACCTGCTAAAACACATATTTAATTAAGTACCTGATTTTTTTTTTAATGCTTTTATTAATCCGTTGAGCGGGAGTGTGTGTGTGTATGAGTGTTTGTGTGTGTGTGTGTGTGTGTGTGTGTGTGTGTGTGTGTGGACTGACCTGCAGCACAGACTCAACTGGGATTATGTCTGCGGCCTGAAAACTTCTTTCACATAATTTATAGAGAAACAGAGCGCGCGTTAAGACAGGAAGAAATGAAGGGTTAATAACGCTGCTTAGAGAAATGATGATGGATTCATAGATAGTAGAAATAGAAGTATTTATTGTGTAGAGCCATTGTGGACTTCAAAAATAAATGTCGAAAATGTAAGTATAGCCTACTTTACGGTTTAGATCATATTGAATGCATCTTCCTTATTGGACTATACAGAGGAAATGATTTTGAAATGATTTTATTTTAACATTAATATTAATACATTTTTTTCTAGGCGAAATGTCACTGCAAACGTATGCAGGAGTTAAACATATATTTTAATATTATTAAATTAAATACAGGACTTTACAAGAATAACTTTATCAACAGTTATATGTTTATTAAACTGGGTTTCAGCCTATTGAACAAAGCTTAGGCTTTTTGCTGTAAATTGTAGGGGCATGTTTTAGGCTAAAGCCTTTGTTAATTGGAAATTATCAATACTTTAATAAATACGAGTGTTTGTCTTGTTCGTTGTAAATCCAGCAGAATCACTCTTGTTGAATTAAAAGCGTTACATCCGGGTTTTGAATGGAAAGAACAGACGTGACACAGGAGTGTGTTTAGCAATGCAGACAGGCAGTACATTACCTTCTTCACACCGCGTGCATCCACCCCTCCTCTTCCTCTTTATACCTCCACCTTTCCATCCATCCTGCTGCTCACACAACCATGACCTTCACAATTTATGGAGAGGAAACCCCGGAGAGTCACGTCACGCTTTCAAAACGTCCTCCTCTTCTTCTACTACTTTCTTTTCTGCTGCTAAAAAACGATTTAATTTCAAAACGTTACATGTAAATCCTCTTATTATTATTATTATTATTATTATATATCCCATGTGTTCTTATCGTCCAGTAGTTGTATGCATAATAATTATTATTATATATGATAATAATCACTTCCTAGTTTTTAAAATGTTTAACTTCCCTGAATGAACAATTTGTGTTTATGCACTAACTCTATAACAAAAAATAGCTTAACAAATAATTAATTATATAAAAAAAACTAATTGAATTCACCCGTAAATTAAGCCAATAATTGTGGTTCTTACTGTTTGAAATTAATGACGTAATGAGAGATTAAAATAATGTCAATAAAGCCGGAAAAGTGAAAAGGAGACTTTTTCTATTTCTCGAGCTACAAACAAAGGAATAAAAACACAGAAATAAGCGTTGATATGCTACTCACTGTAAAGTATCAGAAACAATAGTGATCAAAAGTCAGCAGCAGACAGGAAGACATTTTCTCCTGCAGCCCATAAATCCACGAGGAAGAAGAAGAAGAAGAGGAAGACTCCCTGTGGAGAGCAGCTCACTATAATCCATATTCATGCGCTCGACACGTGGAGTAAATACAGTATGAGGAGGGGAGACCACTGTGTGTGTGTGTGTGTGTGTGTGTGTGTGTGTGTGCATACACGTATTTACCAGGTTATAGACTGAGACTGTGACACCAATCATTAAGTCTAAGTCCACCTAAAAACTGTGTGCATGTTATATTTCAGATTGTACCTTATAAAAAAAAAGCACGGACCGAATTATTTAAGCGCATTTAACCCTTTTGAAAAGCACATGCGCACAAAACTGTAAAATTAAAGCCGTTTTAACGTGAATGTGTAATCAAAAAGTGAATTGTAGTGTGTTTATTTTGCGGAAAATAAACAAGACACAATGTATGATACTGACAACAAACATAAACACTTCCAAAGCCCCCCCCAAAAAAGCCTACAAAAACATTTAAGTTAGTGCTAAAGCTCTCAGTGTATTATTATGTGATGCAGAAAATCCGTGTAGGCCTATTTGTTTTGATCAGATTTTTTGTAAATGTATTCGCTGTTTGGCTCTCCTTGTTGAAATGAACGTCAAACATTGACAACAAATGAAAGCCTACAAAGTTCCTTCTTATGGGACAAAAGTGAGGCTCAAATCTTTGCTTTAAAGAGCAGCTACAACGCGCCAGACTGACATCCTGAATCAATAAGCAATGTATTCCTCAGGCCTGGACGTATCCACACACACACACACACACACACACACACACACACACACACACACACACAAACACACACACATGTTTCTACTGCCAACATGGTTTTGAAGACCCATGGAAAAGCCAAAGCTGCTGCAGAATAGGCGAACCAAAGCACATTATGAGATTTAAACTCTTTTTGTGTCGCCTTTAGTTAGAAAAGAAATCCCTATTTTTCTGCACGAGCATCCTTTTAAAAAGGTGATTTTTTTTGGTTTGTTGTTGTTGCAGGATGCACATTGTAAAGCGTCAACTTATTCTTAGTGTCCCTCTCTGTGGTGAAGGTCTTGTTCTGTTGGGGAGCTTATCTTTGCACGTCATGTGACTCTGCATTGGATTTTATAGCAGAGGAGCACGGGGGCTGCATGCTCAATGAGCTCGTGCTTTATTTTTAAATCTTTTATGAACGAATGAATGTGCCAATAATTGTTGTAGAGTTTTAACAGTTAAATAAGCTTCAGGAAATAGGTCTGTAACGTTTGAAATACCTGTAACATATTTATAATGAAATAACACAGTATAAAGTTTTAAAGGCTGCACACACAGCGTGTCTGTGCTGCCACTTTTACTAATGGAGACAAAGAAAAATGATGCCCACTCCTCTATATCATTGAATTCAGTTGCTAAGCAACTAGTATGGGAAATCATCCGCGAAATTCAAATCCTGCAGCGCGAGGACACGTTTTGTTGAGTTTTGCTGAATAGGCGAAGAAGAAAAGAAACTTTTTTTTTTTTTTTTTTGGGGGGGGGGGGCACGATCGCCTCTTGCAGCCGTGACGAGAAATAGTCCCCTGTTGAAACACAGTTAAAACACTAACTGAATTATTTGATAGGCCTGTGAGTAGCCTATATATTAAGAATGATTCGCCTACAAACTGAACATTACGAACACTTCGGGATTATTATTCCTGTTTTAAACTTTTCAAAAATCCAAACAACCACCCTGATATCACTCTGCATTCATGTCCCATGTGTCACCCAGCATTCCCCGCATGGAGGCCGCTCAGCTCCGGACAGACACAATCAATAACCCCCTCTCTGACCCACTGCCCCGCTTCCTAAAACAACTCAACGCTTGCGCCTGACCTTCCTCTCTACCTGGCGCGACACACCTGCAAGAGCTGCAGTGCGCATGCGTGTGCTTGCCTCCATTCATAATCTATGTAAATCAGCCATGCAGCCACAGTACGTGTACAATTCTGCTGTTTGGATGAATGCAAATCAATTATTTTGCAGATTAGAGCTTTTGTTGCATTAATCAGGCGCTCATAATGACGGGTTTGTGAGTATTATGGGATGCAGGACTGTGAGCTGCAACGTAAACATTACATAACACAAACACACTCACACACACACAGACGCCATGTACACCAACACCACCACATGGATTCCTCTATGAGGGAGATTCATTTTCTACCTCTAATAATTCTAGATTCTGCCTATTTAAAAAATATATCTATCTGGATTCAGGCTTCCGTGCTTTCTCAGAAAGAGGTTAAAGCTGTGTTATTTTTGCCCAAGGCCTCAGGAGCAGCAGATGTAAACAAACAGACGAGCCATTCATGCAGCTGACCGCGATGTTTCAGTGGAAACGGACAGAACAAACGCTGCTGGACATGTGTTTAAACTGAGCAATAACTCTTGATAAATGCGATTCTTAAAGGACGCTCAGGCGACACTAGAACGCGTATTCTGCTTTTTCTATTTCTAAAAGTGTAGAGGCTGCTTTATTCTAATTGAGGTTATTATTAGATTCTGCAGCTTCATCTGAGACAAAAAAATACACCCTTAATATCACGAGATTCTGCAGCTGTATATGCATTTAGAAATAAATAAATACAAACACCTCATTGCCAAAAAAAAAAGCAGCAGCATTCCCTTTAGCATAAATCTAAAAGCACGATGTAAGAATATAGATGTCAAAAACACAAGGTGATTGCATTTCATTCTAACAAATTTATTGTGTCTCAATCAGCTCGTACGGAACCACTACTGAAATTAAATTACAATCAAATGATCACATCAAAAATGTACCCTTATTACCTAACAACGGTCAGCTTTATGATGATTTGTGCTCCTTTAGAAATACAAAAGAATAACAAAAATAAGGGCAACAACAAAAATAGAGGAAAAATATTGAAACGAAAGAAGAAGAAGAAAAAAAAAAGGGGGGAAGCATCTTACACAAGTTTCCTGGAGAGGAAGAGGGGAAAATAAATTACCGTTTGGAATAATTCATACGTATTCCGAATAAAATATTAAAACAAGTAATTCTGATGAAAAATATAAAGTAAATAAGTCAGATCAGTATCTGATCTAGTGATCTATATTGCCGGCTTTACAGAGTTTCTTGTTTATTAAAACCTACCAAAGAACACTGCTTAGAAAGGGCAGCATTAATAGAATATCCACAGCACCCACTCAGTCACACTTGGCAACAGATTTTTTTTGTTCTTCCTCAAATAAGTGCAGTTTGAAGTCTTTTTGCAAATGTCTTATGCTCTTTTTGTTGAGAAAAAAAGGAGAAGAATCCACTCACGCTGTCAAAGTCCTTTAAATAATAATAATATTTAAAAAAAAAAAAAAAAAAGGGGGGGTGATCTTTTTAAGATCAGGCAGTTTTTTGAAGGGGACAGTCCTGCTTTCTCTTTTCTCTCTGGATCTGGAGATGGGACAAAAAGAAGAATAATCCTCCTCCTGGTGTGTGTGTTGGGGGTGAAAACATGCAGTCCACGTGAGGGGGTGGGGGGGGAGAGAGAACAAATTTGCAGGGAAATGATGGTGGAAGCGTCGTGGATGTCACTCTTGTTCATATTGTTGCCCCCCTTCTGTTATTGTCAGGCGAGGAAGAAGGGGAGGGAAGGCGGTTCAGTCCTAAATATACAAAATGTCTGCTCCTTTGTTTCTTCAATCAAACAGGATAAAGAAGGAGGGAATTTCTTTTTTATGGGAGAGAAAAATATTTCAAAAAAAAAAAAAAAAACAATGCTTGGTTTCCTCTTGGTGTGGTTTAATGCGCCAAAATTACCTGGTGGAATGAACTTGTGGTTGTCACCCTCTGGTCGCTCGCTTCATCTTTTAAGTAATCTACTAAAAAATGCCCCTGAAAGAAAAAAGCAGAAGGAACCTTTTAGGTTAAGACATTTTTGAGGGCCTGGAAGAAGGTGCGTTTTTTTCAGAAAAGGGGGAGGTTTTTGGGGAGGAAAAAGGGTGATTTGTTTCTGGTGAAAAATATAAACACAATTTGCAGTCTCATTCATATTCCCTCACAATCACAGTATCAAAAAATGTGGCTATCCTGGAGATAGTCTGTATGTTTTTAAGCAGTTTTAAATTCATATAAAATATTCTGGTGTGCTGTTCTATGTTTCACTGAACATTCTTTTGCAGTCCATGGAGGGGGGCGGTGTTTCTGCACTCACATTGCCGACCTGAGAGTACACATCCTCCGGCGTCTGAGCCACTCCTGGGGGCGTCATCCGTTTTTCCTTCTGTCTCCTATTGCAAAACCACACTCTAACCACCTCCTTCTCCAGCTGCAAGTTGTCCGCCAGGGAGGTGATCTCCTGCGCCGAAGGTTTGGGGCATTTTAGGAAGTGGCTCTCCAAAGCTCCCTTGACGCTCACCTCGATGGAAGTGCGCTTCTTTCGCTTCCTTCCCTGCGCCGCGATCTTGTCGATGCTGGTGGGGCTGCCGGTGGACGAGTCGGCCTCCTCCAGCCACTTGTTTAACAAAGGCTTCAGCTTGCACATGTTCTTGAAGCTGAGCTGCAGAGCCTCGAATCTGCAAATGGTGGTCTGAGAGAAAACGTTCCCGTACAGGGTGCCCAACGCCAAGCCGACATCCGCCTGCGTAAAGCCCAGTTTGATCCTCCGCTGCTTGAACTGCTTGGCGAACTGCTCCAGGTCGTCCGACGTCGGCGTGTCGTCGTCCGAGTGCGGGTCGTGGCTGTTGACGCCTTGGTGGTGCTGGTGGTGCTGATGCTGGTGGTGATGGTGGTGGTGGTGGTTGCCGTGGTCCAGATCCGGGGTGTCCCCCCTCACCAAGCCCGGGTGCACCAGGCTCTGGCTCCCCGGGCTCAGCATCCCGTTCACTGTGAACCCCCCGGGCTGGGAGTAGATGAGCGACTGCTGCTGCTGCTGTCCCCCGGATATTGAGTTAATGTGCGCGGCAGTCGTGCTCCCCCAAGCCCCGGCGTGAGTCTGGTGGGGGGCTAAGTGAGGGGGCCTGTGGTGCAGCGCGGTGCCAGTGTGCAGATCGTCTCTGCCGGAGTTTTTCACGTCCTGCTGCTGCGGGCTGCCTGTCATCCCGACGGGACTCGACGACCACGGCGATCCGGCTTCAGCTGCAGCCACCGCGGCTGCTGCTGCGGCTGCTGCGGCGTGCGGCAGCGATGTCACCCATTGATGGGCATGGCTCAGCATGTGTCCCCCGTTGCTGGCTGCCATTGCGTTTTGCATAAAGTCACTCTGCACCATCTTGACCGAGGGGTCTCCCCTGTAACCCCCAGACCCCGAGGTAACCGCAGCGCTGCCCGGCTGCATGCCACCACCTCCGGAGTCAGAGTGCACGATGGAGCCGGACGATAAGATGCTATTGCTGGCCAGATAAGGATTGGAAGCCGCGGTGGCCATTCCGTCAACCCTTATGAATATGTTTGTGGATAACCCCCCTCCCTTTTACAGTCACTTCTTTCGAGCAGGCAAATTGTATCTCATGAATTATTCAAACTTTAAAAGTATGGGGAGCTTTTTGGTGATACCATCGACGTGCGTAAAAACGCAAAAAAAGCTTCAAAAACAGCCGCAGAAAACTGGATAAAATCCGCATGAATTTACAGCATTCGACTTCAAACTGTGCATGGAAATCGGCGATAAATCCCAGGTTTTTCAAAAGCCCTTTGAAACCATGTGCAGTCCGTTTGGAAAGTTTTGCACTGGGATGGAATTGGGCGCATTAAAATTAAAATATACAGCTGGAAAAGCGTCGTCCCAAACAAACTTTTGCTGCTCGCTGAAACAAAAAAAGCCTTGCAAATTCTCCACAATGTCCAAAGTCCCAGTTTATGTCCCCTTTGGATGAGAAAAACATTAGCAGAGAGTCCTCACTTCTTTTGTAATTCAGTTTCAGAGATTTCTCCCTCGCTTTATTCTTTTCACTCTCTTCTTTTATAGCTCTGTAGAGCCTCTCTTTGTTCTGTTTTGATGTATATAAACCTGCCAAACCGCAAACTCCCGTTGAAGTACAATCCCAGTATAACAGTGCACGGCGCTGCTCGCGAGCCTCTTCTCTCATTCGCTTGTTCTCTCTCTCCACCTCTCTCTCTATATCTCTCGCTCTCTCTCTCTCCCTGACAGGCCCGCGTAGTCCCGCCCCTCGCCAAAACCCCGTCTTTACGCACGGATGTTTACCCCCGTACGTCCTCGCTCATTGGCTACCAACGGTTGTGATTGGCAGCCCCTCGCCAGCCCTTGCTCCGGGGCGCACGAGCCCTCCTTCCGGCTGTTCCGATTGGCTGGTTTTTAATTGCAGTCCAAACAAAACGGGGGAACACAACTCAGTAGTAAACAGCGCTGAGATATTAGTACACAAACAGGGGTGAAGGGGTAAATAAAAAGGTCGATAAAGTGTGACCTCTGCTTTGAGATCATCAAGATAAACTTCCAAAGTTTCTCACATTGAACTTCAATATGCCCTTTGTTCTTTATTTAATAAAGTGGGTCTGTTTAAAGCGTCAACATTAAGATAAACACATTTTATTAAGATGACTTAATATGGATAAATCCAAATGAGAAAATCACAATTCTGCAAACTCCATGTAAGTAGTTTAGTATTCTGCTTTTCTTTGTATAACACATTTCCAGGACTAATTCAAGGCTTGGGAGTTATAAGATGCATTTTGTTGCGTTTATTATTGACTGGTTTTGTCATAGAATAAGGCCCAGCAAGTGACCCATGAAAAATATTTATTTAAAATATATATACAATAAAAGGCAGGTAGACTAAATGTTGCATACTTTACTTAGTGGTTATCATTTCAATCTGTTTTGGTGAAATTTAAGAGCTCAAATAAATTGTTAATAACTGTTTAAAAGTAGAAAGGAAAGTCTTCCAGGATCATGACTGCAAATAAGAAACCATGACACTGCACCCTGAATTACCCCAGAGCATGCAGTGTATATATATATATGTTCAAGAGAGAGGATGTGCACGTCATGATTCGTAGAATTAAAAAGGGGGCTCTGCAGCTCTGGCATCCTCAGAAGGCTCCTCAGGAGTTCACGCACAAAGGTTATGGTGACGCTTCCACGCGTGAACGCCGTAAAGAGAAAGTGGCAACCAAAACAAGAGCAAATTGAGCAGTTCCTTTGGGGATTTGCGCCGTGAAAACACAGCCAGAGATACAGCGCAGCATCCCTTTAGATGGCCACATAACCCCGCACATGAATGGAGCCTTTGTTTGGATCCTTTGCGCCTATATTCACGCACCCATGGGTCTGATTGTGTGTGTCCAAGTGCACCCATAGTTTGAGCTGAGGGTGCCTGTAGCCTGTTGAGACCACCTGGCTGAAACGAGGCCTTCAGCAGGTGATGTTCTGACAGGATTAACTCTACTGTGCTCAAAGGTTAGAGCTGCATGTCGTGCGTTAACCTAACTCCAAAGATGACGCTCAGATTGTAAAAGGAGGATTTCAGGGCAGAGGAGTAGTTGTGTTTTCCATGCCAGTTCCCCCCTCCTCCTCTACTTCTTCTCATCCCAGTAGATTTAATTTGGCTCCAAATCGAGTGAGCCTCGTGGATTTGTTTACATTGAATAGGCAGGCTAGGGGCCAGAAGCATGGGGGCCCTTCTATTCATTAATATACAGTGAGGATTTCGCTCTAAATTACTGCTGTTCAATCCGCGCTGCACGCTTTGAAAGGGCGTCTCAGGCGGCCAGCAGAAACGTGACACCAAGGGTGCAGAGAAGCTAGATAACCCCTGAAAATGGGAAAAAAAAAATAATACAACATATATAAAAGGAGAGTCAAAAGGCAGCACAGAAAGGCTCCAAGAAATCACTACGCCGCGTTGAAAAAAGCACTCCTCTCTGATATATGATGTGTTTATTATTTATTTGCTTATTATAAAAAAAAAAGGTCCCCAAGTTTCCTGCTGGGGGAGTTCATTTATTTTGTATGCAAAAAGGAAAGAAAGAAAGAAAGGGGGAGAGGAAAAAAAATCATCCCCAAGTATAACAAGAGACGAACAGTTAGTGCTGATTTTCATTTGCATAAATTTTCATATATTTTAGTGAAAATAATAGCGCGAGCCGAGGAGTGCTCCTGCTCAGTTGAGGCAGAGGAAAGAAAATCTTAGGGAGCACCGAGTCGTAGGAAAGGGAGATAACCATTTGCAGGCTGCGGCGTGAACAATGTGAAGCTATTTACTCTTCTTTTTCTCTGCTCGGACACAAGGTAAGTCAACAATCATCTGTGCGGATTTCTGCTTTTACGCGTCAGGAATGTTGCAGTTTATCGCGCATTGCTCGCTGCGCCTGCTACGCGCTTCCCTCGTAGTCTCCTCGCTGCTTTAAATCACATTTCTGCATACGCCTTTGCATGCACTCCTATATCTCTTGAACTTGTATTAAAAACAGGAATTGCAAATCTCTCCATCTCCGCCATAGAATGCGTAAAAATCAATATTGCGCCGTGTGCTTCGGCGCCCAAATGTCTTCTTTTATTCTCGTGCGTTTTTTTTTTTTTTTTTTTAGATAAAAAGCGGGCAGATGGATAAGCTGTGCTGTTTTGTAGTGAATGTCCACCGGAGAAAAGTACAATCAATCACATTTAAAGCAGGCAGAGAAGGGAGAGGGAGCGAGAGAGAGGGAAAATGAGAGGGAGAGAGAGAGAGAGAGAGAGAGGGAGAGAGAGAGAGACCCCTCGGTTTGAATCCTCCAGAGGGATCGCGTAGGCAAGTGCAATATGAAATCGTTTAATAAAAATCGATCGCCTCGCTGGAAAGTTTGTTTAAAGTTTACATGCGCCAGCCTGTAGGTCCTAAACTGCACTTATCGACACCGACACAGCTCGTTATGTTTGCTAATGAATAGCCGGATATTTCAGTGAATTCCTTTTATTTTTTTATTTTTTAACTATTATTGTTTTAGTTTTGCAGATTGAAGGAGGAAAAGTCAAGAAAACTCAAAAAACGACTGATTTTCTTTTTTTTTCTTTTTTTTTTTTTTAAAGAAAACTGCTCCAATGCGGATAACTTTCTGCGACCTCTCAAAGTCCAACACTCAGTTGAATCTATCACACATTAACTCCAATTTGTGCAGAAGTCGCCTAGTTTCTGCAGCTGAGGCTTATTTCTGGTGCCTTTTCTCACGGGTTAACTCCTCTCCCTGCATTGAAGGCAGAGCGCATTTCTGAGCCCAGCCCTCGGTAGCCATGGTGAGCCCCATAAAAGGGGGAAACACTAGTCGCATTAAGCTGTATGTTTGTGCACTGGAGTCGAGATGAAAAAAGAGGCTCGGTGTGTCCCGGGCCAGCGAGGAGGCAAGCACTGGTAACGCGTTACAGTAACGAAATCAACACATATCCAGCAACAACAAAACAGGACTTTTTAAACTGGCTTTGGTACCTTTTTGTAATTTTATGTATAATTAAGATAAAGTCATGTAGAAGTGTTAGTTTGAATCATAAATTATTCTAAAAATATAAGAAATTCTTCCTAAAAAGTGTTTTGGTCTTTAGAATTTGGTTTCATAACGATTTACAAGTTCAAAAGCATTTTGTGATGCATAAACTTCCTGTAAAAATATTTTTTTATATATTTGAAACATTTATACATGAAGTTTCTGAACTGAATGAATCACGTCATTTTCTGTTAAACTTCAGTGACTGGTGTTGATTGAGTCAGGGGGGTGGAGGTGAAACATTTAGGCTCCAACAGAGATTTACAAATTTAATCACAACTACCACCAGGGGTCGCGCTAATTCATAATGCAAAATTCTCAAGATTATACTGCTAAAATAATCGATTTAAGTTTCATTTTTGCTTTGAATGACACGTTTTAGGGAGTTCTTTATTAGCATTTTACACATTCTGATTGGCTGGTTCCACATGAGTCCCTCCTAACAAACCTCTCTCTGCAGCTTGTGGGCCTATACGTGCATTCTTGGAATTGAATGGCCACCGTTTCTAGGACAGACACGACAAAATTGATAGCCTCATGACACGATTGGCAATTAAGATATCCCTGCAGAAAACAGCGTCACATACTGACGCTGCACGTAAACGGTTAGTGCACTAATCCCTGCTGATGCACAATAAACCAAATCAAAGCAACAAACGCCCAATAAAAACAGGGCTCTGACTATATTCTGGTTCATCTCTCAATCCCAGAGGCAATTAAACCACCTTAATTTAATTATCCACATTTTTAGGACACAAACGCAGATTTTATTCCACATAAATGATTATTTTTAGCAGAAGAACCCTGCTTGTATTGATCAGCGTGTGCAGGCCTGTGACAGCCTATCAGTGGCAGCCCTCGTTGATATGCAAATATCCTGTGATTAGATAGACCCTGCACGCTTTAAGCCAGTCTCCATCTGCAGCAGCAGCAGCCCATAAGTGTGAGCCATGCAGCAGCTCTTTGTGGGGAAACGTATGACTAACCTGGAGAATTATTTAGCAAACGAGTCGTGAATCAGCCCGGGAATTAGTGCACTGCTTGACCGGCCATTTGCACTATTTCTCCTTCATCATCCTCATCATCAGAGGCACTAAAACCTGCAGCACTGCGCCCTATTGCTCCGCATTATGCAGCCATTCTGTCATGCTGCACAATGACGCTCATTGGGAGCAGGAGGCCGTTTATTTACTCCTGCGCCGAGCAGATTGTCTAATTTATCAAGATGCTTCCATGATCTTGGATTCATTTTTCCCACATAAACAGATTTTAATAATACAAAACAGAACTATTAGAACATGGGGAGTGTTTTTCTCTGCTGTTTTTAGAGGTGATTCAATGAAAAAAACATGTTAAAATGTGACTTTTAGAGGAGGATAAAAAGCATCCAATGTGCGTAAAGAGCGCCTTCATCGTTCCTCTCTCCCCCATAAAGCATCCTCACAGTCTCATCTCTTTGATTCATGAATTTATGACACCTGACGTGCAGATTTATGTCAGCCTCACGAGGTGTCTAAACCCCGCGTACGGTCTGCTAGGTGACAATATTCAGATTAAATTGGTGCAATTCCTGCCGTTTTAATTATGGCCCTACTTAAGTTGCC